AAGCTTGGCCAGGCTCTACCGGCCAGTATATGTTGCCTGGGGGAATCCTGTGGCATGTACATGTGGGTTCATGAAGATTTGGAGTATGTATGTCAACATCTGTGGACCTGTTCCCTAGATTCTGCAAAAGGTGACTCCATCTTCCAGAAGCTCTTTGGTAGTTCCCCAGCTTCTCCTTTTGTGGCTGTTTTGTGGTTTTTGGGGGGCTACTCTGCTCTTGGCCACTGCTGACTTTGGGAAAGACCTCAGTGGGTATTCTGAGAAGCCCTTGCTGGGCTCCAACAATGAAGATTCAGGTGATGCTGCCTCCTTGAGCTATGGCTCTCTCAGGGCAGTAGCCTCAGTGAAGAAGTGCCAAGAGGTTTATTTGGGCAAATCTAAGAATTTTCTAGAATGCCTAGCTGCCCTGGGGATCCAGCCTCCAAGTGGAAGGGGAAGGAAGGACTCTCTTCTGGCAAAGATGATGGTAGGTTATTGTGGGGATTTATTAAGGCAACTCCACGTAGTTAAAAAGGAGGTTTATTTCGGGGTAACTTACAGCCAGTAAAGGGGTTGGTTACAGGATCCGGAAGAAGTGAGGTGCAGTCTAGCAGGGTTCTCTGGAGAACTCTTAACTCGGTCTGTCATTCACCATCCAGGATCACCAGGAGCCAAGAGAGCCTGCACGTCCGGATCTCGGGTGTTAAAAGCTCCCATCTTGGCCCTGCCCCAGGGGCAGGTCATAGGTAGGCAGGGCAGTTACCAGAAGCCTCACTAGGGGTGGTACTTCCAGGTCAAAGCTGGAACAGCTACCCACTACAGTAGGTTCTTAGAGAGACAGGCCTCAGGCAGGGCTTAGGGTTGCCCACCACAGGGCTCCGGGGAGAGCAGCTGGACTGGGTCATCAGGAAGACCTCACCAGGCCTCTCAGTCCCAGCCTCCTCTCCCTCTCCAGGTCCTCTAAGCGTTATTGAGGCATCCGACACATGACAAAAATTTATGTTTTCAATATGCAATTAGATGGCTGTGAATATTAGCTCACTGGGAATTGCTTTGTACCCCTGCTTGGTTCTATCTATAGGGGCCTCCACAGGGTGAGACCCTCAATAGGGTGCAGGTGGCAGAGGTCTGGGGGGACCCTGGACAGCAGGCTGCTCTCACGTTCAGTGGTGTGGGATTAAATCAAACGTTGCACCCTCAGAAGGAAGTGCTGGGGTGTGTTTGCCCCATCTGGGTGAGCACTAAAAGCAGTCAGTGAGTCTCAGTGGGCAGGTGGCGTTGGGGCAGAAGCAAAGGTTGATCTGGAACCCAGGCAGCTTTCTTCCCATGAGGTGTGCGTTCTGGCCTCTGAGGAACTTGTCAGAGATCTTCACTCCTCCTCTTTCACGCCTGTAGGGTAGCACAGCTGACCCTGAGGGGAAAAACCAATTTAGGATGAGGAAAAACAGTTAGAAAGGTTGTTATTCATTCAGTGGCAGAAACCTACCCTTCCCCGAGGAACAGCTGCAGCATCAGGGTCTTGGGAGACTGTCCCAACAGCACCAGGCCAGGCCACGAGGACCAACCATCTGTTGCAGGATCCTGGAGGTCTCCCAGCCCTAGCATATGTAGGTTAGACCTTGTGCGTGAGGTCCTTGCAGGCCTTGGGAGCTGCCTGGAGGTACAAGGCTGGTACTCTGCCCTAACCAGGTAGATCCATGAGGTTAGCTGAACCCCGCCATCACCTCCTGCCAAGGCCAGTGAGATGAACAGAGAGGGCTCTGAACATCAGACACGTTGGAAGTGATGGAAGAGGGGGCATCGTGCACTGGCTCTCCTGGATTGGGGTATGGCAGCCCCAACCCGGACAGAGTCCTTTGGGTGCTCCAGATATCAGGAGGCCATGCCCACCCTGGCCTACCCATCACTACCCAAGCTAGGGGTGGAACCCAGAGGGAGAGAGCTTCCCCTGAGTGCACTTTGACCCCCAACACTGAGGGAGGAGAAAGAAAAGGAGGAGGGAGGAGAGAGAGGGAGAAATTGGTTTGTGAATGATGAGGTACGTTTTAGACTTTTCTTCTGATAGATTTCTTCAAGTTAATTGAAAATAAAATGCATGATCTTTTCTTTTATGAGAAAAGGCAGATTTAGCTGGAACTAATCAGCAACGGGGCCAGAGAAAACTCAGAGACCGTGCAAGGAGAATAAAAGTCTGAAGACATTTGAAAGATATTGTAATTCTCTCAAAACAGTGTGCAGGATGATGCATTAATATCCAAGCCTGGAGTTACCATGTGCTCCTCTGGGCTACCAGAGCCATTATCCCAGCACCACTGCTCTCAATCTCACTGTCATTATCTCTTAATTAAATCACGTTATTGATGGTGCCAGCTGTCACACTTATAGTGACTGTCTCTGACGGGCCACTGTAAGAGCCAGGGGCTGGAGCCTGTAGGTATCTGCCTGGGTTGAAGGATACTCCCGTGTCTGGCCCCCTGCCCTTTCTCCCTGTAGAGATGGTTCTGCCCAATTCTGTCCCCCTTTCCTTCTATGAGGAGTGCCAGAAATCTTTGGCTTTTGGTACTGTGGGTGCTGAGTGGCTGATGATCTGCCTCCCTATGACCTATGACCTTCAGTTACACTAGTTTTGGACTTAGCCAAAAGGCCTCTGATGGTCCCAGGGACCTGAAGGAGCATGGTAACAGTGGCCACAGATATCACCACTTAAAGCTGAAGGAGAGTGGTAACAATGGCCACAGATGTCACCACTTAAAGCACACACTTGTCACCTCACCGTCTCTGGGGACAGAGGTCTGGATGCAATGTGGTTGGGGGCCTGTCTTAGCTTTCTTTAATTGTCAACTTGCTACAACCTAGAAATCACCTGAGAGAAAAGCCCCAGTTGAGGGATTTCCTAGATCCGCCTGGCCTGTGGACACGGCTGTGGGTGATCGTCTTGATTGTTAATTGACACAGAAGGTCCCTGCATATTATGGGCTACACTCATCCTGGGGCAGGTGGTCCTGGGCTTGATAAGGAAGCTGGCTGATCGTGGGCCTGTGAGTGAGCCAGCAAGCGGCATTCCTCCATGGTTTCTGCTGTATTTCCGTGGCTGTGAGTGAATTTCCTGGTTGGAGGTGATTCTGTGCCGAACAGAAAACAGGCTTGGCTTCAAGTTGCTGATTGAGTTCCTACCTTGACTTCCTTCAGTGAAGGACTGTGACCTGAAAGTGTAAGGCAGGTAGGTCAGTCTTTTCCTCTCCTCAGTAGAGCAACAGAAATAAAACTTAAACAGAGACCCTGTCATTGCTTTGGCACGTGAAGGTTCTTTTGGGGGAAAACCATGCTTAGCTCAACATGTGGCTTGTACCCGTTGTTCCTTTTGGTGGTGGGGTTGAGGGTGTTTTTGTCTCCGGCTGCAGTCCCTAGGCAGCTCTCAGGTGCACAAGGGCCACCTGCAGGTTCCTAGGACATGTGTTTTCAGCGAGGCTGCTTTGTTCTCTCAGCACAGGCAAGAGGCACCCCAGCAAGGTGTGCACCTTCATCCCTTCTAACAGTGGGAGTCAAGAAGGTCTCCCAGCATTCGGGAGGAGTACACCAGGAGTTCCCCAGGATGGAGTTCGTTCAGCTGCTGCTCAATGGGAGCCTCCGCATAGGCTCCACGTGTGTCTTTGGGATGGGAAAGACCGAGTTACCTGTCCCTCAAGGTTTAAGATAGCATCTTCCACCCTTACCAACCTTGCCTTCTGGCATGGCCCACATGTGTATATGCCTAGATACAGAACAGCTCTGTAGGGTTGTTTCACCCAGTAGCAGACAAAGTATTCTTCTCAAGCTCCCAGGGAACATTCACCACAGAAGACCACTTCTTGGACCAGAAAACACATCTTACACATTAAGAACACCACAAAATCACAAGTGATCTTATACCACAGAGTTGTTAAAAACTAGGATTTGATACCTGAACAATTATCCCCAAATACTTGTAGAACAAGCAACAAATGGGTAAAAAAAAAAAAAACACAATAAAACAAAACAACAACAACAACAACAAAAAACCAATTAGGAGAAACTAAAAGAATATTTTGAACTAAATGAATATAATGCAATTTATCTAAAATTGTTGGATGTGCAAAAGTAGCAATTAATGGAAACTTAGAGCATTTGATGTACATGCTAGAAAGAAGGAAATTCTGCAATAACCCGAACTCTCACCTGGGGACTCTAGAAAAGCAATATCTAAAACAAGTAAAAATTATTAAATAGCAACAAAAGACAGAACTGCAGTCAACAAAGTTGGGAAGGTTCAATAAGATTGATAAACCTCTAGCTAGACCAACTAAGAACAAGGGGAAACCCAAGCTAGCAGATCGAGGAGGCGCCATCAGTACAGATCTTAGCGACACTGGCAAGGTAACCAGGAGACACAGCCCACTCACCACCTGGGACAAAACGTCACACCAGAAGCAGACAACCAAATAGGCCTGTATTTATGAAAGAGAGGAAGTCAGTCATCGCTTACCTTCCAAACAGGATGCACAGGCCACGTAGCCTCATTGGTGAACAACTATCAGCTGGTTACCAATCATACCAGTCCTCCATCGCTCACTCCAGAAAAACAGCTCTACACCAAACCAAACCAAAACAAAACAAACATCTGCAAGGGACACCTCATAAGTCATCCCGAGGACAGCAGAACTCCAACCCCTAAACCAGACAGAAGCAAGCAAACACACACACACACACACACACACACACACACACACACACACACACACACACACGGAGCTGTGTGTGGTGACTCATGCCTGCAATTACAACACTTAGGAGGCTGAGACAGGAACATGGTGTGAGTTTAAAGCCAGCCTGAGCTGCAGAGTGATTTCCAAGTCACCCTAGGCTACAGAATAAGATCCCACCTCAAAAGCGAAACAAGCCCATAAATCATAAAAATAGCAACAAAAAAGCAAAGCAAAGAAAGAAAAGGAAAAGATTTAAAGAAACAAAATGACTTCTTGGCTGTACATGGTATGTTTTTAATCTCAGCACTCAAGAGGCAGAGTGGCTTAGTCTCTGTTCTAGTGCCATGAAGAGACATCATGACTAAGGCAATTCTTATAAAAAAAAAAAAAGCATTTAACTGGGGGCCTGCTTACACTTTCAGAGGCTTAGTCCATAATTATCATGGCGGGGAGTACGGTACTAGAGCAGTAGCTGAAAGCTACATCCTGATTCACAGGCTGAGGGAGAGAGAGGGAGGGAGGGAAGGAGGGAGGGAGGGAGGAAGGGGAGAGAGACAGAGAGAGAGAGAGAGAGAGACAGACAGACAGACAGAGAGAGACAGAGAGAGGAGAGAAACAGAAAAACAGAGAAACTGGCCTTGGCATGGGCTTTTGAAACCTCAAAGCCCACCTCCAGTGACACACTTCCTCCAACAAGGCCACACCTCCTAATCCTTATAATCCTTTCAAATAGTTCCACTCCCAGGTGACTAAGCATCCAAATACACGAGCCTATGTGTGTGGGGCGGCATTCTTATTCAAACAACCAGAGACAGGTGGGTTTCTATGCATTTGAGGCCAGCTTGGTCTACAAAAAGAATCCCAGGCCAGCCATGGCTACATAGTGAGACCCTGTCTCAATAAATAAATACATTTCTAAAAAAAATTATCATATAATAATTGTGTAAGTTCTTATAATACAATGCAGTGATCAAATTGAGGTAATTATCATACCCCTTATCTCAGACACGTTGTTTGTTTTTTTTTTGTGGTGAAATTCAACAAGCCTTTTCCTTGTACCTATGAACTTCCTCCTGAGCAAAGGGATAAAAAACTTTTCTTGGTATTCTGCATCTTAAACTATTATTCTCTCTCTCTCAATCATTACTGTATTAATCTATTTTTTGTAGTGGGAGCTTTTTTTGGATAAACTTGAGAGAGGCTGTTTTAGATATTTTCCTGTCTCTATACAGATCCAAGATTATGTTCTATAAAATGTTTGTTGCAATGTATTTATTCATTTTTTATATGACTTTTTATTGATTAAAGTTATTCTTTCACATTTCAAACAAACAAGAGGGGAGGAAGGAGAGAGATGCCATATTGCTCATAAACATAATCAGAATGCCTCATATACATGAATAAAATTGTGAAAGAGCAAATGGAACCAATAAAATAATCTCTTATTTAAAAAAAAAATACCTTCCACAAAACACTTAGGAATAGAGTCCAAGAATGAGTATAAAGAACTTACTTGTCATGACCAGGTGGGATTTCTCCTAGGTATGGAAACCTGATTCAATACCCAAAGATCAACTATGCAAGCAATCACATCACCAGACTAAAGAAGAAAATGACAAAGATCATGTCAATTAAGAAAAGGATTTGACAAGCTGGGTGGTGGTGGCACACGTCTTTAATCCCAGCACTTGGGAGGTAGAGGCAGGTTGATCTCTGTGAGTTCGAGGCCATCCTGGTCTACAGAGTGAGCTCCAGGACAGGCTCCAAAGCTATACAGAGAAACCCTGTCTCAAAAAAATAAAAAAATAAAAAAAAAAAAAAGAATTTGACAAAATCCAATTCCCATTCTGTTAAAAATTCTGAGTAAACTAGGAACAAAACAGAACTCCCCTAATTTGATTATCTACAAATACCTACAGTGACCATCATAGTCAATGATGAACAAGTAGATTTTTCTTGTTCTTTTCTGAAGACTCAGTTCAGGACACCTCCTCCAGGCAGCTTTGGGGATTTCATCTCCTCCCCACCTTGAGTGAAGGATTCCTTTCTGTGCATTACAGAGAAACCATAGCATGATACCTGTGTCTGTTGCTCTCCTGGGGGTGGGGTGGTGTGTCATTGTCTCCCAGCCTGACAGAATACCATGAGAAACCATTTGCTGAAGGAAAGATGGGCACAGGGAGGAGGAATGTAAAGAGCACTGGCAGGACAGACCACTCCCAGGGGTTCTCAGAGGTGGCCACTGAATGTGCAAGGGCAGGTGCCCAAGTGGCTTTCTGCTCTGCTGGCACCTGCTTGTCATGAGTGGGCAGTGGTCACCGTATCTCAGGGAGCCAATGATGCCGGTGGTTGAGTCTTCAGGTGAGTGAACCGTTCTTCAGGAGCTTCAGGATCCATCTGAGCACAGATCTTCTGGTGATGGTAGGCTGTGTAATCTATCCACCCCTCTATCCACAACCTCTCCCATCCTATTCACACATATCTAACTGCTCATCCATCTACTCATCCACCTTTCCTTCCATCATCCATCCCTACAACCATTCACCTATGTCTTCATCCATCACTCATGCAATTCAGCCATTCCTCTATCCACCCACCCATCCTTCTAACCACCCACTAATCTCTCTGTCTACCTATGCATCCCTATGTTCTTCCACCTACGCACCTATCACCCCTCCATACATCTACCCATGCCTCCACCTACACACCATGGATCAATGGATTCATATCTTCATTGGATGTTATGAGCTGAGTTTGGGGAGCCATCCTTGCCTGTAAAGGCTTGAAATCTAGATAGGAAGGTAGTTCTTAACTTTAAGATACTGTCATAGGGCCCACTTATTTAAGCTCTTCCTCCCTCCCTCCTTCCCTCCCTCCCTCCCTCCCTCTCTCTCTCCCTTCCTTCCTTCCTTCCATGAGGAAGCTGGGATACAGGAGAACATTTCAACTCTCAAGAGATCATGTTCTAGAAATTTGAAATGAAAAAAGCTCTAGTGCCAGGTGAAAGATGGCCCAGGAAATGCCATTTGGACAGCACTTTGGCTTCTTGGTCACCAGAGAGAGCTTTGCACTGAAAGGTAAGAATGGCTTTGGAAGTGAGCCCTGAAACATGGGCTGTGAGCTCCTGAAGTCTGTGTCCCCCAGTACTCAGCACAGGCCAGGCCTAGAGAATGCATGCTTGACAAGTAAGGGCTGAAAGTGTGCACACTGAAGATTTGCCACATGCAGTTTGGGACCTGTCCTTGGTTCTGGCTCTGTTCCCTCCCTGGCCCTGGTTCCTTGGGCAGGTTTCTGCTGAGTCCTTGCCTTAGCCCATGTTATTCTGGGTTCACCTCCTGGTTGCTCTTATTTTGGGGTCATATATTTTTTTCCTGAGACCTCATTTCTCTTACACATCTAGAAGAGTCTTTGCTGTTTCAGTTTGTTTAGCCTTTTACTTATGCTGGGATGGAGTGGGTGACATCCAGGCTCTCACATGCTGAAGTGGAAGCTGGAAGCTGCTGCTGCTCCTCTTCCTCCTCCTTCTCTCTCTTTCTCTCTCTCTCTTTTTTTTTTGGATTTATTTATTTATTAACAGTGTTCTGCCTGCATGTATCCCTGCAGGCCAGAAGATGGCACCAGATCTCATTACAGATGGTTGTGAGCCACCATGTGGTTGCTGGGAATTGAACTCAGGACCTTTGAAAGAACAAACAGTGCTCTTAACTTCTGAGCCATCTCTCCAGCCCCTGAAGCTTCTTTTAGAGTCAGACTGATGGGAGTAAAGCTTAGATCAGAACGCATCCCCACCCCCCCCCAGGCAGGATTTCTCTGTGTAGCTTTGGAGCCTGTCCTGGAACTCGCTCTGTATCCCAGGCTGGCCTCGAACTCACAGAGATCCACCTGCCTCTGCCTCCCGAGTGCTGGGATTAAAGATGTGTGCCACCTCGGCCCAGCCAAGAACGCACCCCTTTCTATCACCGCTCAGCAGGCTTTGGCAGACGCACTCACCACAACCAAACACACACTTGCACCATACCACACACTACGAAGTTTATCATCTCTTCAGCCCCAGGGTCGGACAGTCCCGGTGACTGCCTTTGTGGTTTTGCCTTTTTCTAGAAGGTCATATACAGTGGAATCAGAGGATGCCGTGTGTGTGTGTGTGTGTGTGTGTGTGTGTGTGTGTGTGTGTGTGTGTGTAAGTATGTGTATAGGTCGGAGTTCAATGTCAGTGATATCACTTTCTTTTTTCTTTTCTTTTTTGTTTTTTCAAGACAGGGTTTTTCTGTGTAGCTTTGCACCTTTTCTGGAGCTCACTTGGTAGCCCAGGCTGGCCTCAAACTCACAGAGATCTGCTTGGCTCTGCCTCCCGAGTGCTGGGATTAAAGGTGTGCGCCACCACCGCCCGGCTGTGATATCACTTTCTATCTTCTATCTACCTTATTGAGGGTCTTTCAGTGGATCTAGATTTCACTTATTTGGCTAGACTAGCTGGTTAGTGAACACCAGGGACTCATCTGTCACTACAGACAGCCCTGTCTTTTATTTGGATGCTGAGGAGCTGAACTCTGGTCCTCGTGGTTTCATAGTGAACACTTTATCCACTAAATCAGCTCAATGACGCTGTTTTTTGCTTTTTATTTAATTCAATTAATTTATTTCTGGGATATGGTCACATGTAACTTGGGCTGGCCTTGACTAGCTATGTAGCTGAGGGTGACCTTGAACTTCTGACCCTCATACCTTTACCTCCCATACTGGGTTCAAGTCTGTGCCGTCACACCTGGCATTCTCTTTTACTGCTGAGAAGTATTCTCATTTGTTACCATACTATAATTTATCTGCTCACCAGTTCAGGTATTTGGCTATTTCTGGTGTTCAGCTATTATAAATAAAGTGTTTATATCCATTTGTAAGTTATTGTATGGGACATAAAATTTCATTTTTCGTGAGTTAATAGATGAGATGATAGGTGTAGATTTGAATTCATGAAACCTGCTGATCTTTTATGAATTCAGTATTTTATTTTGCATCCCTAACAGCAATGCCACAGACTTCTTTGCCAGCATTTAGTATTTTCAGTTTTTAAGGAACAAAGCCCCCCTCTGCTCCATCAAATTTGATGATTACAATAAACCCAAATTTCTAAGAAGCTCAAGTTTCAGTACATGGTGAAAATCACACCCACATATTATAAGCAAATTGCAGCAAACTAGCACTAAAAAATTAAAAGCAGATAGGAACACAGACAAAAATGACAGCTGACTTCTCACACTTTCAGATGTTGCAAGAAAAAAAATATTGCTAACCTAGCACACCATCTGTGAAAATATCTTTGAAAACTGAAGGCAAAATGCAAGCTTTCAGGCACACAAAAACCAAAGGCACATATCTTAGTCTGTTTTCTGTCACTGATAATAACATGATACTAGAGAGTGGGTTATAATAGAAAGATGTATGTTTAGCTCGTGGTTCTTGCTCACTGTCTCAGAACTGAGAGTGGTATTGGCTTTCCTGTTGGCAGAGTCCCAAGAGAGTTCAAGGCATCACGGACCAGGGGTGGGGGTGGGAGTTCTGTTCTCTTTCCCTCTCTTCTTTTAAAGCACCTGGATTCAACCCTGGGGTTCCACCCTGATGACTTTGCCTACTAATCAGTTCCCAAGGGATCAACCTCTAAACACCTTAGTCAGATTAAATTTCGACCCTCCTAATACCTCACAGGAGGAGTTAAACTTCAGACATGAAGCCTAGGGACACTCAAACCATCATTCAAACCACGTGGGTTTTTCTCAGGAGAGGTTGCATATACAGTGTTAGGCAAGTCTCACAGCAGAGGGAAGACGATGCTCCAGGCATGGATTGGCCAACCGGACAAGGCGACAATGTGAATAAATTGGAAACACTTGTTATTTAACAATATCTCTAAGTGTTAAAAAAATAATTAAAATGTAGTAGAGAGACTGTAACTTATATAGTGTGTGACAGCAGAAGACAGGTGGAGTTGATGATGGAGGGTGACTGTTCCAAACATTTTATATAACGTGTGGACTGATATGACATTTTGGGAAATCAGACTGCATTATTGCTTGGATGTAGAACATCCATCTGGATTTTCCAATAAAGCAACCCTAAGCTAATAAAACTTGTAGTATTACGTTAAAGTAACAATGGGTAGCTAGAGAGATGGTTCAGTGGTTAAGAGCACTGGCTACTTTTCTAGAGTACCTGGATTTGAGTCCCAGCATCCACATGGCAGCTCACAACCATCTATAATTACAGTTCCAGGAGATCTGATGCCATCTTCTGACTTTTCTGGGCACTAAGAAAATATATTATATTGATATAAATGAAGGCAAAGGAATGGAAAAAAGTACATATGGGACAAACAGGTGGATACATTTAAACTCAGACATGGCAATTATCACTCAAAAGGCATAGACTACAGGGTGTGGTAGCACACACCTGTAATCCCAGTGCTTGGGAAGCTGAGGCAAGAGAATTGAGAGTTTGAGGCTAGTCTGAGTTATTCAGTAAGATCCCATCTCAAAACAATACAAAAGCCAGAGGCTACCAGTTTATATAAAAAAGGGAAGATCAACTAAGTACTTCTTACAAGAAACATATTTTTTAAAAAACCATTTAATTAATTAATTAATTATTTAATGTATAAGTGCTCTTTTTGCATGCATGCCTGCATGCCAGAAGAGGGCATCAGATCCCATTATAGATGGTCGTGAGCCACCATGTCATTGCTGGGAATTGAACTCAGGACCTCTGGAAGAGCAGCTAGTGCTCTTCACTGTAGTTGGACTTCCCTTTGGGGTGCCAGCTCACAAATAATAACATGGAGACTTATTATTAATGAAAGCTTGGTCATTAGCTTGGGCTTGTCCCACTAACTCTTATAACTTAACCCATTTTTAAAAATTAATCTACATTTTACCGTGTGGCTTTTACCTCTGTCCTGTTCTGCGTGTCTGACTTTTTCCGCATCTTGACGTTGTCTTCTGCTTGCCTCAGTTATCTCCTCTTCCTCTTTCTGCCTGGAAGTCCCGCCTATCTCTCCTGCCTAGCTATTGGCCCTTTAGCTTTTTTTTTTTTCTTTTGGTTTTTCTAGACAGAGTTTCTCTGTGTAACAGTCTTGGCTGTCCTGGAACTCTCTTTGTAGACCAGGCTGGCCTCAAACTCACAGAGATCCACCTGCCTCTGCCTCTCAAGTACTGGGATTAAAGGCACATGCCACCCCTGGCCGGAGGCCCTTCAGCTTTTTATTACACCAATCACAGCAACACATCTTCACACAGGGTACAAATATTCTGCAACACATCACCAATAGACTTTCTTATTTGTATATTTGAAACATGGTCTCACTATGTAGCCCTGTGTGGCCTGGAACTTGCTCTGTAGACCAGGCTGGCCTAGAACTCATAGAGATCATATGCCCCTGCCTCCTAAAGGCATGCACCACCATACCCAGTTTAACAAACTCCATTTCCAAAATCCTATAGAGAACTGGGGACAGGAGGGTACTTGAATAGCTCATCAGGGATATTTACATCCTTGCACCTTTGAGAGAAAGGTCAAGAGTAGATACTACTTCAACACAGGGATGCCTACACAGGCAGTTAGGCAAGGAATTTAATTGACAGGCAGCAGAGGGAAGATGAGAAGAGTCACCATGTTCATGCACAGATAGTCTGGCCATCTACACAGATGGTAGGAAAAAAACACTAGAAAAAAAAATGTGAGTTTAGCCAAGTAGTGAATGAATCTAGTAGATAAACACAACCCTTTCTGAGGTTAGCAGTTTCTGGTGTGTGCAGAAATTGATAGATTGGTTCTAAGCCAAAAATCTTAAACCAAAAATAGCTTCCATGGGAGAAGAATAAAGCAGGATGTGTCTAGCATTGTGTGTTTGGGTTTGGAGTCACCTAGGAGACACACCTTGGGCATATCTGTTGAGGGTGTTTCAAGAGAGGTCTAATTAAGGGCGAGGAGCATCCCAGGGCCTGGGCTGACAATAACAGAGGGAAAAGGAGAAAGCCAGCTGAGCACTGGCCTGCCCTTCTCTGTCCAGAGGCCACCCTTGTCAGGAGCAGCACCCTGGGGGACCCTAGTCATCACCTCCATCGTCACTCTGTAGGGCGTTCTTTGCCCCTTTCCTCCGTAGGGCATTCTTTGCCCCTTTCCTCCAGATGCAGTGGCCAGAGCTTCTGTTCACTTCAGCCTCTCATATTCCCACCAGCAAGGAAGAGGCGGAAGTGGCAGCAGGCATTTGGGCCAGGCAGTGTGAGCAGTGAAGCTCTGTTCAGCATTGGAGCCGTGGCCTCACCTCAGCTCAACCCACTCTTTCTACTGTGAGCCCGAGTCCCATGCAGCCTGGTCCTGTGGGAGGAAGCACACAGCAGTGCAGAGGCAGGGTGCCCAGGCATTCATTAAGTCTTAAAATGTGCAGCTGAACCGCTCCATGTGTGTGGTGTGGGTCTCAGCGCCAAGCACTCCATGACTAGCTGGTGAGTTCCCCACGGCGGTTTCTATTACCTCACAGGCTAGAGCTTTTCAGGATGGGACGGGCAGCCCTGGGACGTAGTGCCCCCAAAGCATTACTTAAACGGCCTACTGTGTGTTGGGAGCGGTTGTGTGGATGTGGCTGGAGGCTCCTTGCACTGTCTGCTCAGACCTGGAACCTGAGCAGTGTCCTAGGTTACAGTGCGGTTTAACGTCCAGCTGTATGATTCCCAGCGATATCAGAAACGGCCTAGCATCTTTTTAGAGGGCTTTGCAACAGATAAGCAGTGATTTTTATTACTAGAAGATAGTTCTGCTTAAAAGAAAGTAAAGTGTGGCTTAAAAGGTACTCGATCTTGATTTTTTTTTTTTTTTTTTTTTGCAGCGCTCGTCTGAAAGTGACTAGGGAAAGCGGGGACCACACACCAGAGACTATCAAGAGCTGAAGCTGACGATGTGCGTGGTGTGTGTGTGTGTGTGTGTGTGTGTGTGTGTGTGTGTGTGTGTGTGTGTGTGCAGCTAACCTCCTTCCCTCTCTCTCAACACTCCCCTCCCCTCGGCCCCTGGCCCCAGCCCTTGCATCACGTGATCACATGACCATTCCTTCCTACTCCCGGAGTCACTATGGGCCTGGGGGGTCCCACAGGCTTCCTTGGCATCTGCAGGGCTCAGGTGGTGCTTCTGCATATCCCATGTATGGGATATGTCAGTCTCCCCCAGACTCCCATTCTCTGCCCTCTAGCCCCGTTCCTTCCCTTTGCTCCTCCCCCACTTTGGTCCGACTCCCCCTCCCACCCGTCGCTCTTCCTTCTCTTCCCCATGTCTCCTCTCCTTCTCCGACTCAGTCCTGCTTCCCTCTCCTCTGTCCCTGGCCCGACTCACTTTCCTAGCCCACCTTACCCCTCTCTGCCCTACCTCTAACTCTTGGTCCTCTAGCCCCTTTTAACTAGGAAAACTTCTTTTGGTAAAGTCCACGCAGTCCGGTGCCGGTGCCGCCAGGGGGCTCTGTTGCCCTCCGAGCGCGGAGGTGGGAAGCAGTAAACACAACAGGAAAAAAATTCGGTAGTAATTTCAGACAGAATCCTGAGGAGTCCTGGAACTGGAAATGACTCTAAAAGTGGTTACGGGGACACTATGGACCCTACTGGACAGGACTGTCAGGATGTCCGAGTCTTTGGGACTTCCTGGGGGTGTGGGAAAACCCCTGGGGTGGATATCCTTCTGTAAGGAGGGGCTGAGTACGTGTGTGGGTTGAGGGACCCCACTTTTGGAGGGGACTGGATGTGGGCATAGGTCCTCAGGTGCACATGGAGGCTTGGGAAGGGCACTGATCTGCCTCCGGTCCTGGCTCTGCACTGTCTGACTCTCTAGTGCTTGTGTGACCTACAGTCAGGATGGGAACACAGGGACCTTGCAGGTCATATGGATGGATAACAGGGTGTCTGTGCTCTCATTTGACTGCTTGTCTTAGAGAAAGTGCAGTTAAAAAAAAAGACTTTATCAGTAGATTTTTCTGAGATCCATGTATTGAGATTTGAAAGACAGATTTTTCTTTGTTTGTTTTTGTTTTTTTGAGATAGAGTTTCTTTGTGTATCCCTAGCTATCTTAGAACTTGCTGTGTAGACCAGGCTGGCCTTGAACTCACCGAGATCCACCTGTCTCTGCCTCCTCAGTGCTGGGATTAAAGGTGTATGCCACCATCATCCGGCTTAAAGTCAGATTTTAAAAAGGGAGGTTGTAATAGTCTCACTAGCCCATGCTTGGTCTTAGGGCTCCACCTTGTCCCTTTCTGAAGGTCAGTGGGCACTAGGTACTCACAGTCAGGAACTCTTCTGTCTTGTGCAGTCCCCAGCAGGTGGCTTTGAGTTGTAGACCTCTAACCTTCCTGTGGTAACAACTGGCATTGTAGAGTAGCTTCATCAACAGCAGACATACAGCCTTGTCCTGTACCAGAGATGGGGAAGGCCTGGAACATCCGTTTGTACACTTCCAGCCTGGCTCTCACTGTGCATCCTGGTACTCTCTCCTGACCCTGGTTCCTTATCTCCGCCCTGGTCTCCCATCCCCACACTGGTTCCCCCATTCCCACTCTGGTCCCCCATCCACCCTTCCCCATCTTTACTCTGCATCCCTATTATACAGGATTATCCTCTGAGCTACACAGCCACCATCACCCTCTCATAAAAGATCATCCCATCTGGGCTTGTTGACCCCACACAGAAAGGCAGAGAGACCCTCACATCTTCATTGCCGGCAGCTCTACCCTAAGAGCAGGTGGCCTGGGGAGGGGGCTAGAGCATACAGGCCAGGAAGACAGGTGAGGATACTCCATTTGTATGGCTATGGGAAAGCCATCCTGCCTTCTGGTTAAAGACTTTCTGGTGAGGCCTTTGGAGGGGCACCCACACTCTATTAAGTCACCTGTCACCTATGCTCTGTGAGGAAGTCCAATAAACTAACTGGTTCCCCAGAGTGAACTTTGGGGCAATCCCACCTCAGTTTGTAGTTGGGACCTTAGAAGAAGGGATAGACGTCTCCCCATGGGGAGAAATTAACAACCACCACCACCACTCCCTACCCTGGCCCTCCACCCCGCCTTGGGCCCTTATCCTCATCCTGGCCTCCTCTCCCTATTCTGATTCCCATATCCACCCTGTTCACCATCCCACTGTTTTCCTGTTCTCTCTCTGGTTCTTCACTTTCATCTCTGGCCTCCAGGGAGTCTCCTGAGCCCTTTGTTCTGATTTCCTGATCAGGGAGTCACTGGGAAATTTCCACTCTCTCAGAACAAACTGTGGTGACTTTTATATGTTTATAAAGGCCAATTGAGCGTTTGGGGAGCTGTGGATGTTTCTGTTAAATGCCCCCAGTCTGCAGTTCTGGGCTTACTGAGAGAGCCCCATCAGTCTGCTCATAAATGGAGTCAAGGACTGTGTTTTATGCTTGAGAGGTGTGGGCCAACCTCAGTGCAGAGGAGGCGAGCCTCAGAGCTCCAGATGTGGTGGCGGGTCAGACGCCCTCATTTCCCTGGGATGAACTGAACACTGGAGGCAAAGCCTCAACCCCTCCTCCATCTCCTTCCTCTTGCGTTGACTGCCCTTCTGAGGTGGTGTGTCCTTCTCTGCATGCCTTTTGGAGGTGTGGATTGATCCATAAATAATATATAATGTTGTTTTGTGTGCTATAAAAATTTGCATAAATGGGATCACATTGCCGGATTCCCTCCTCACCTTCTTTCCCTCTGCACAGTGTGATGATTTGGGGATTCATCCGTGTTAATAAATGTGCCTCTAGTTTATTCATTAATGGTTGCGTGAGGGGAACGAGCTGTGGCTTATGTCTCTACTTGCATGTGGAGGTGATTTATATGGGCTTGCGAGTCCCAGCTAAGCCAAGGCCTGCCCTTGGGTGCTCTACTCTCCAGGAGCACCCAGCGATTCACACTCTGCTCTTCACCCAGCACTTCTAGGTGGGATGTGGAGCATTGCCAGTTGTTTATATTTGTCATTTGGTCAGGAAGGGACTCTCCACCTCACCCTCCAATGTGATAGC